CGAGCCCCTCCCAGCTGGCAGCCACAGGTCTGTTCTCTGCGTCTGTTCTGTTTTCGCAGAGAGGTTCGTTCGTGTCGTAGTTCAGATCCCACGTCTAAGTGACATCATGTGATGTTGGTCTTTCTCTGTCTGACTTCACTTAGGTCCACCCGCACTGCTGCCCACGGCATCATTTCCATCTTTTCTGTGTCCGAGTAGTATTCCATTGTGTGTGTACACCGCATATTCTTTATCCATTCATCTGTCGGTGGACATCTAAGTTGCTTCCATGTCCTGGCTGTTGTGAATAGTGCTGCAAGGAACATTGGGGTACGTGTGTCTTTTTGAGTTTGAGTTTCCCCCAGATGAGGAGGCCGCAGAGGGTGAGACGGTTGGATGGCGTCACTGACTCAACGGACTTGAGTTTGAGGAAGCTCTGGGAGAAGTGAAGGACAGGGAAGCCTGGTGTGCTGCAGTTCATGGAATTGCAGAGGGTTGGACACGACTTTGCGACTGAACAACAACCCACGAGTAGGATGGCTGGATCACATGGCAGCTCTGTTTTTAGTTGTTTTTTTTTTCTTTTAAGGAACCCCCATATTGTCCTCCAGAGTGGCTGTACCAATTTCCATTCCCACCAACAGTGGAGGAGGGTTGCCTTCTCTGCACCCCACAGAGGATGTGGTTTTTAAACCCTCCTCTTGAAGCCAGCACTTCCCCCAGCCCCTCTGGCCCTTGTGTGGCATCTCCTGAGTCTCACCTGAGCTGCAGAACTTTTCAGGCAAGAACGGAGGCGGTGCTGGGGATGGAGGTTGGTTCTAGAGTGACTGTCACCACCGGTCATGCGCCCTTGCAGTCTGCAGTAGTTTTTGCAAAGCAGCCATTTCTTCTTTTCTTCTTCTGTCTTGCTTATGGTTCTTCTCACTGTAAACCAGCCCATTTCCCTCATTTGTGTTTCCTGCGTGCATGCTCAGTTGCTCAGAAGTGTCTGACTCTTTGCGACGCTATGGACTGTAGCCCACCAGGCTCCTCTGTCCTTGGGGATTCTCCAGGCAAGAATCCTGCAGTGGGTTGCCATGCCCTCCCCCAGGAGATCTTCCCGACCCTGCATCTTTTATGTCTCCTGCATTGGCAGGGGGGTTCTTTACCACTCATCTTGGTTGTTGTGATTGTCATCCTAAGGATCTCAACCTGCAGGGATGTAGGTCCTCCTGTAGCTTGTCCCATGCCACCAGGGAAGGCTTCACGCGTACCCGGGGCCAGGCTGTGCGGGAGTCATCCCTGACCCTGCCATGTGCTGCCCTAGGGAGAGACCTCTGGGGAGGCTGCTGTCCACTGTCTTTGCCAGGCTCCTCCGTCCATCTTGCTCTCACCATCCTGGGGTGAGGCTGGTGTAGGTGGGATCAGCGAGCTGGGTTCTGGTTGCTGACCTGTGGAAAGTCCAGCTTAGGTATGGGCAGTACAGCTCAGTCCCCGTTCTGCTGGAACCCCAGGAATTCCTGAGAATCCCCAGGAATATTTGCAAACTGCATCAGCATGGAGTTTCTGCATATGAGTCACCAAAAGACCTACCCAAGAAAAGAACCTGGTGAACAAAGAAAGAATCTCCTGGTTGACGTGCCGAGTCCAGAGGCAGTGACAGCTTCAGGGCTGGCTGGACCCAGGGTTTCGGCCGTTGGAACTTGTTTCTCCCTCCCTGGCCTTGGCTCTCAACATGGGCTTCCTCCATTCTCTGCATCACGACACTGTGACTCTGGTTGTACAAACTCCCAGGTTCAAGTCCAGCAGGAGATGAGCGAGTGCATCGAGGGTTTCTTCAGTAGAAGCCCTGGATGAGCTCAGTTGGGTCATATGCCCATTTCTAAACTATTTAGCGGCCACCCCAGGTCCTCCAAAGAGGACCAGGAGGTGCTCCAGAATTAGGAAAAATAGACGGCGAGTTCTGTGGCCAGGAGCAGCCGCCGAGCACACACTCAGGCCCGGCCTGGCCCGGCTGTGGACGACGGCTCCCTGGACCCAAGTCCACGCTTCTTGCTGATGCGCCTGCAGACCCTGGGCCACAGCACGTGCACAGGCCTCTCCTCACCTCCCCACGGTGACGGCAGCACCCAGGGGCATGTTAAGAAGTCTCCACCGCAGGTTCGGGCCGAGGGGAGGAGACAGCGCACCCTGTCCTCTTTCCTCGAAGGCCGCCACCATCTGCGTGTCTCCCACCCCGGGATCCAGAGCCCCTCCTGCAGGCGCGGGGGCAGAATGACCACTCCTACGTCACCCCACCAAGGGCCACAGTTTGTGATGTAAAGTCACCCGACATAAAGACAGCGTATTATACAACGATAAGAAGCTATGTCCTGCCCACCATCTCCAAGCCCTGTTCTAGAAGAGTCTTGGCCTTGTGGAGACAAATCCCAGGGCTGCAGACTGAATGTTCGCACCCCCCAAAACCCACGTGTGGAAACCCCGTCCCTGCATGTGATGATGTCGGAGGAGAGGCCTCTGCGAGGGGATGTGGGCCTGCATGTGGAGCCCCGTGAAGGAGATCAGGGTCCTTATCGAGACCCCAGAGAGCCCCCGGCTCCAGGGAGACGTCACCAGCCCGACCCAGAGGAGGGCCCTCCCGGCACCCCGCTGGACCAGGTCTGGACGCCCAGCCTCCAGAGCTCTGAGCCCTGCAGCTCTGTTCACGAGTCGCCAAGTCTGCAATACTCGTTACAGCGGCGCACGTGCACCAAGACCCCGTGAAGGTGTTTTTCCTAAAACAAAGCAACAGTTCACCTTCACCTTCAGGAGACTCTAGAAAGAAAACATAACTGGCAAAAGGCAGGTGATGTGGCCCAGGCATGCTGATGAGTACTCTTCTAATTCAAGGATGGTTTTGGGGGCATGGCCGACCAGTGGGTGGGTCCAATGTGGGCAGTCCTCCCTGACCATCTGGGTCTCATCCCAGTCTAGGGCCTTCACTGCTGATGATGCAGATAAACACAGGACAATGTGACCACGGGGTTCAGCAGTGGAGGGGTGACAGCTCACACCATGCAGTCAGCTTCTGGGATGGCTGCCACCCAGGGTGATGGGCAGGCCCCCCAGTGAGGTGTCAACATCCCCCCATTGTTCCCGGGAGGACAGGCACCTTGCTGACTCCCCAGGGAGGAGACATCCTGCTGTCTGCCACCCTGGTGCCCGCAGCCCTGCACGCCCCCCGGAGGCCACGACTCCCACGCCGTATGCCCTGGGCACAGGGTGGGGGCCTCCGCCCTCTGCCCCAGGCAGGAAGGTGGAGGGTGGTCAGCCCGAGGGTAGAGGTCAGCGTCAGGGTCCCGCACCTTGTCCTGCAGGGGCCGCTTGCAGTCGAAGGCCCCAGGACCCTGGCTGCTGGTCGTCAATGCACAGGGTGTGTCCCCATTTAGAAGGTGGTGTCCCCCTGCTCTAGGGCAGCATCCCCCCATTATAAGGTAAGGTCCCCCAGTTATAGGAAGTGTCCCCCAGCTCTGGGGCAGTGTTCCCCCACTATAAGATAATGTCCCCCAGTTATAGGAAGTGTCCCCCAGCTCTGGGGCAGTGTTCCCCCACTATAAGATAATGTCCCCCAATTATAGGAAGTGTCCCCCAGCTCTGGGGCAGTGTTCCCCCACTATAAGATAATGTCCCCCAATTATAGGAAGTGTCCCCCAGCTCTAGGGCAGTGTTCCCCGGTTATAAGAGTCGCCAGAGCTTGGCTAATGAGAAGCGATGGGTTCCCGTCTGCAGCACCAGCCTGTCACACGGGGTCCTTTTTTCTGAGCCCCACAGACTAGCCCCATGCCCCATCTCCTGTCAAGCCTCATGTCAAACCCAGAGCTAACTCGGAGACTCCAGGGATGATCCTGAAAACTAAGACCCACCAGCACCTTCTTCTCACCAGGGGTGGTCCTACAAGCTTGGGCTGAAGCACTTCCCTCAAACGACCAGAGCAGTCTGGGGACCACATGGACAGCCGAGTGTCACTGGAGCATGAGTTACTGAAGTCCCCCAGTTATAGGAAGTGTCCCCCAGCTCTGGGGCAGTGTTCCCCCACTATAAGATAATGTCCCCCAATTATAGGAAGTGTCCCCCAGCTCTGGGGCAGTGTTCCCCGGTTATAAGAGTCGCCAGAGCTTGGCTAATGAGAAGCGATGGGTTCCCGTCTGCAGCACCAGCCTGTCACACGGGGTCCTTTTTTCTGAGCCCCACAGACTAGCCCCATGCCCCATCTCCTGTCAAGCCTCATGTCAAACCCAGAGCTAACTCGGAGACTCCAGGGATGATCCTGAAAACTAAGACCCACCAGCACCTTCTTCTCACCAGGGGTGGTCCTACAAGCTTGGGCTGAAGCACTTCCCTCAAACGACCAGAGCAGTCTGGGGACCACATGGACAGCCGAGTGTCACTGGAGCATGAGTTACTGACGGAGCCAAACCAGCACCAACTGGACATTGTCCCCCAGATAGCACTGGTCACAAAGCTTTCTTTTGCTGGATTTCTAAAGACAGAAGGAGAGGACTTTGAGAGAGATCACACATTCCAGAAAGTAGATCACTTAAATTCAAGGAAGAAGACAACAAAAGCAGTGTATTCAGACCCCAGAAGGTGCCAGAAAAGTGGGCAGAGGACAAAGGCACAGCATCTCCAAGGCCCAGGCTTTACCCGAGAGGAGTTTTGCATCCCAACCTGGAAGCAAGCAGAGCTTTCACAATAAGTCAGATGTTAAAGCCGGCCTTCTGAGGTTGGTCAGTGTGACTTCATGAACTTTCTGAAGGATAATTTGACAGGTTTTGAAAGGCTCAATGGGATTCCCCAGCGGCTCAGAGGTAAAGAATCCATCTGCCAGTGCAGGAGTCACAAGAGACCTGAGTTCAATCCCTGGGTGGGGAAGATCCCCTGGAGAAAGGAATGGCAACCCACTCCAGTATTCTTGCCTGGAGAATCCCATGCACAGAGGAGCCTGGCAGGCGGCAGTCCATGGGGTCACAAAGAGTTGGACATGATTGAGTGACTGAGCACAAGAAAAGGCTGAAATGTGCGCATTTGGTTTCTTAACGCACATACACACCTACTTCTGGTGATCTGCTCTCGGTTTTTACACAGAAAGGAGGCTGGGAAGGGAGCTCTTTGGGGGTGCTGACTTGAGCACCTCTATCCTGCTGGTGGTGAGGCATAGTGACTGCCACGAGACTGTAGGGACCGTGCCCCCAGGGCCACTGATCCACTGGGACCCCCCCCCCCATCAGAGGCCCATGCTCTCCATCTTGCCCGCTGGAATCACTTTCTGGTCCTCTGCATCCTCTGTCTCCTCATCCAGGGCTCTCTGAAGGACTGCCTTGAGGCTCTCCGTGGGCCGCTCCCTCTGAAGACCCCCGATGAAGAAGTAAACGGCAGGGTTGGCCGTGCTGTTGACGCAGCACAAGAGGACACAGATGTCATTGAAGATGTGATTTTTTTTCTCAGTTGTGTAGAACCGGATGATACTGAGGGGCAGGCCGAAGAGGAAGCCCAGGAACGAGAGCAGGAGGACCAGGTAGAACCTTCTGGGCTGATGCTTCTGGGAGCTGCCCTGGACTCGGTGGAGCAACAGCAGACTGGATATGCCCAGGATGGCGAACTGAAGGAAGACCAACACAGCGGTGGCAGTTTTAAATCCATCACAGAACTTTTTCTCCTTGGTGAATAACTGACCACAGGCATAACCTCTCAGCGTGTTTAACAAAAAGGTCAGAATCCAAAGGAGGGCGCTCACGATGGCCGACAGGTGCTTGGGGCAATGACACCGATACCAGATAGGGAAGAGGACAGACAGACAGCACTGGAAGCTGATGGCGGTCATGATGCTCAGGCCAGCGAGGTAGAAGAACCACCTCAGGACCATGAAGAGGGCATGAAGACCAACGCAGCGGTGGAGGAGCGGCCTCAGGATCTGGCGGACAGAGAACAGAATCTGGAAGCTGAGATTCATGAAGTCTGCGATGGCCAGGTTGAGGCTGTAGATGAGGAAGGAGGTCTTCTTGTGAGACAGACGGACAAACCAGATCACAATTCCATTTCCCGCCAGTCCACAAAGGGACACAACCACGGTGAGGGACCGGAGGGTCACATGCCCAACATCGAGGGATCCTTCAGCCAGCCCCACAGCGTCAGTGCTGGAGTGATTCATCTCGCAGTAATCGTCCATGGTGAGGTGATCCGGGCTCGGCAGGACCGTTGGGTTCCCCTGCCCTGTGGCTCCTGGCACTCCTGGGGAGTCAGAGACGGAGGTATGGACCCTCAGGCAAGTGAGGGGGGCTCTCGCTCCTCTCCCTCTTCCCCCACTCCTTCCCTCCGTGCCTCCCACCTTCCCTCCACTTGTCTCTCTCCCCCCCCGACTCCAGCCCCCCACCAAGCCCGGACACAAATGCCCTGAGTGCAGGTCCTTCCTGTGGTCGTTGGCTCTCTCTAGAGGATGAGATGGGAGCTCAGCTTTGTCCTCATGAGCTGGGCCTTGGGCATCAATGCAGTTACTCATTCATCTCTACACTCAACAAACTGATCTGCTGGGTGTCCCCTCCAGCTTAGGGTCTGAGCAGAAAGCAGGGTGGGGGGTAGTTGGCGGGATCTGGTCTCTGACCCCAAGAAACCCAAGGGATCCACCGTTTACAGGACGGTGTGACTGGAGCTCTAGATCTCAGAGGGGAGTTGACCCTTGAAGACATGGTAGATGTTACCAAGAAAGATGATACCCAATGCAAAGAAACCACTTCAGGAAGAACCAAGAAAGATGATACCCAATGCAAAGAAACCACTTCAGGAAGAACCAAGAAAGATGATACCCAGTGCAAAGAAACAATTTCAGGAAGAACCAAGAAAGATGATACCCAATGCAAAGAAACCACTTCAGGAAGAACCAAGAAAGATGATACCCAGTGCAAAGAAACAATTTCAGGAAGAACCAAGAAAGATGATACCCAATGCAAAGAAACCACTTCAGGAAGAACCAAGAAAGATGATACCCAATGCAAAGAAACCACTTCAGGAAGAACCAAGAAAGATGATACCCAGTGCAAAGAAACAATTTCAGGAAGAACCAAGAAAGATGATACCCAATGCAAAGAAACCACTTCAGGAAGAACCAAGAAAGATGATACCCAGTGCAAAGAAACANAATACATGTAAATCCATGGCTAATTCATTTCAATGTATGACAAAAACCACTGCAATGTTGTAAAGTAATTAGCCTCCAACTAATAAAAATAAATGGAAAAAAAAAAAGAAGAAGGAGGTGGGGCAGGAGAGTCGAGAGGGGCTGTGATGCGGGAAACAGAGGTGGGGTGATGTGATGGTTGGCTTTGAAGAGCAGGGGAAGGGCCACCAGTCAAAGACGCAGGCGCCTCCAGAAGACGAAAAGGGAACGGCTTCTCCCCTGGGGCCTCTGGAAGGGAGGTAGCCCTGTTCACACCTTGGTTTTAGCCCAGTGAGACCTTTTGGATCTTGGACCTCCGTAACTGTAAGGTTATGAATCTGGTCATTTGCCACCAGCTGTTAGGAAACTCCTGCACGAGGTCTCCCATCGCGTGGTCGGGCTCAGGTTCTGAGAGGTCCTCCCTACCCTTCAGGTTACATGCTTCTTGCCTTCCCCCTCCCTTATTTCCAACTTCCCCTTATTTTGTACTCGGACGAATTCATCTCCTCTTCTTTTCTCATCCCCTGGACACTGATGTTTTCCAGGTCGTATTTCTCAGCTTTCTGTCCTGCTCTATTTAAACCATGCCCTTGAATCTGATCTCATCCACTCACATGGTCTCTTGTTCTTCACTCAATTCCCAAACACACATCGTCAGCCTCCATCTCTCTTCAGCCCTAGACTTGCTTATCCAATTGCCGACTGATAATGCCATGTTTAACACCATCCCCCAAATGTCTGCTCTTCAATGCATGTTCTTATTGCTACAAGTTACATCGCCACACAGGACCCAGTCCGCTAGATCTGAAATGTGGACTCACTGGAGGGGGCCAGGGGGACTTTGGGATCAGATGGTTTGGGTTGGGTTCCTGCCCTTCCTGCTAGTTAGATAGGGCATTTGCTTCCGTGGTGTCTCAGACGGTAAAGTCTGCCCTCAATGCAGGAGACCCAAGTTCAATCTCTGGGTTGGGAAGATCCCCTGGAGAAGGAAATGGCAACCCACTCCAGTGTTCCTGCCTGGAAAATCCCATGGACGGAGGAGCCTGGAGGGCTACAGTCCATGGGGTCGCAAAGAGTTGGACACGACTGAGCGATTAACACTTGTATGATGTACTCAAAATTTGTACTATATGTAGTAGATGCAAGCTGCTGCATATAAAACAAATAAACAACAAGGACCTACCGCATATCACGGGCAACTGTATTCAATATCTTGTAATAACCTATAATGGAAAAGAAACTGAGAAAGAATATATATGCATACATATAACCACGTTGCTTTGCTGTACATCAGAAATTAACACAACATTGTAAATCAATGATACTTTAATTTAAAAATTTTTTTAAAGTTTTAAAGCAGATTTTGAAGAAGGAAGTAAGTAGGAGATAATTCATTTTTACTTATGTTGATTTGGGGTTGTTTGTGGAACACCCACGTGAAGACGTCCAGATAGCCAAGATTTTGGAAGGGAGCTGTGGTCTGGAGATGTAGATTTAACCCACATCCTAAGTGAGAGCTGAAGCTGCTAAAGAGGATGACATCATCGGGAGGAAAGGGGCGGGGCTGGGGAAAAGTGCCCTCCGCTGGGAAGATGAAGAAGGACCGTCGGGAGCATGGAGACACAGAGAGAGTGCGGAAGAAGACACAGTGGGGAGGGAGCGCTGGAGCAGGCTCAGAAGCAGACAGTAGCCGTTCCTTGGAAGTTTGAACTAGTGAATACATCAGTAGCAGGTAGGATTTACCGTATGTTAGGTGGTTTTAGACTGTCGCTCCCTAATGCACTAGTAACAATATTCTAATGACACAAAGGATTGATCACTGGGAGATCAGTGTCATCAAGAATAACTTGTACTTCGCTCAGTAAAATCTCCTGGGGCCCTGTGTTTGGAGAGAACCTGCTCCCCTGGGCTGGGCAGTGGCTTCATTGGTTGAAGGCTGGTCAGGACGAGGTCATCTTTGCTGTGGTAGGCTCATCCGTGGTCCTAGACTGCCTCTTTCAGGAGCCCTGTGACTGCTGACTTCGTTTGGTTTAAGGCACTTGTTTCAGACTTCTATGGTTTAAGGCACTGGTCTCTCTGTGCTGTGTAGTCCTCATGTAAAAATGGCATAAGTCACTCCATAAAGTGATTGGATGAGAATGCTGGGGTCGAGTAAGGTGGGCAGGGAAGAGAGAAGACAGGAGGCAACTAAAATTGAGGGGAAACCCCAATGGAGAAACGTCTGGAAGGGCAGGACCTAGGCATTAGTGGTCTGGTCCCTATTGAGACATCAGGCATCAGGTGGAAACCCAGGGGGCAGGGAGAAGAGGCTGGATGAACGACACAGCAAGGGCAGGTCAGGGAGGACACAGGGAAGTGGTGGGCAAGGGGAATCCGAGAAGCCGCAGATGCTCTGGGCTGCAAAGCGGACACAAGCTCACCGCCTGGGAGGAGGTGCACCATTGCTCTTCCCTGAGGTGCTGCTTCAGCCCAGGATCCTGTCTGTGAGAGCAGGAAGGACCTTCTCAAGGAGTCTGATCTTGGAGAAGTCCACTCTCTCCCTGGACCACTGAGCCGCTCTCAGGAGCTCCTTAGGAGAGTGGGGCTCTGAGTGTCATCAAGGTGGCTTGTTTTTTCCTGTGTGGGGTCACCGGCCAATCAGAGTCCAGGCATCATCTCAGGAGCATATCTCAAGATCACGTTTCCGCCCGTGTTTCCTCATCCTCACATTTGGCTTCTGCCTCGATATTCTCAGAATCGCTTTCTCTACCTGTGACTTTTTCTCTGAACCAAACCTTTACTGCACATTTGCAGTGCGCTGGAACAAGCCTCACCCTTGGTGTCCATCATCTCGGTGATGTTCGAGACTTTGAACCTCGCGTGATACTTTGGCGGCTTCTCCTTATGTGAGAGTCATGCCTGGGAGAATGTCCCTCCAGGGCCATACTGTGTGCGATCTTCCTCCTCAACTCACATCCTGACCTTCCCAGGTACTCTGTCCTTTCATCTCTTTCCAAGTCTCAGCCTCTGATATCCCCACAACCACACAGATGTCCTGGACACTGAGCACCCTTTGCTTCTAGATCAGCACATCCAGGGGCAACATAGGGTTGGGTGGGAACAACTGAAGACGTGAGCCACGTTCTTTTCAGAAATCACGTCTAGTTGTGGACTACATGACCTCCTGCCCCTGGGGAGAGACAGCAGGAGGATGAGGATGGAAAGAGAGGCTAGCTCTGGCCAAGCCCCCTGGGAAGATCAGAAATAAATGATGAAAGTCTCAAGTCATTCCCTCTGGCGTGGAATCACCATGGTCCAGCCCAGGCTCCTAAGGTTCCCAGGGATGAGCAGAACCAGAAATCATTTATCACACCTTCCAAAGTATTAGGAAAGACCCTGATGATGGGAAAGATTGAAGACAAAAGAAAGGGGTGGCAGAAGATGAGATGGTTAGATAGCATCACCAATTCAGTAGCCATGAATTTGAGCAAACTCTGGGAGATAGTGGAAGACAGAGGAACCTGGTGCACTGCAGTCCATGGCTCGCAGAGTGAGACATGACTTAGTGACTGAGAAACACGTTCCAAATTCTCCCCAGGAGGACTTTTCCCCACCATGTTTAGTTTTACTTTCAATTGCATAAGATATGTTTCCAGTGATGAGAAGCTCATGTGATCTTTCCAAGATTGTGCCTCCTAGAATTGATAATTAGACATACTCGACAAGAAAAAGAAGTGAAGGAAAGGGTCCTGCTGGTCATAAGAGAGGACACTGACTATGTCTGCCCAGAAGACAAGTGCATGTCCAAGGCTTGGCATCTTTGTGTCAGCCAACTCAAGCCTCTCCCACAGCTGGATACAGTAAACGAAAAGGTCACCACATCCTCCCTTCCCATGTCTCTAGGAACCCCTCAATGGTGGTTCACAAATATTTTGATCTTAAGACCCCAAAGAGCTTTGGTGTATGTCATTTATACCTGTTGATATTTACCATCTTAAAGCTGAAAAATTACAATGTATAAAGTCATTTTAAAATAAAACAATAAACCCATGTCATGTTACCGTGGTAACTTCCTGACACAGGGATTGAACCTGGGTTTCCTACATTACAGGCAGATTCTTTACTGTCTCAGTCACCCGGTATATTTTTAATGAAAAGTAAATACAGATTTTTTTTTAAATAAAACATCTCAGTGAGAAGAGTGGTGTTGTTTTACCTGTTATGCACATCTTTTCAGTGTCTGGCTCCTGGGAAGACAGTTGGAGGACCCGTTTCTGCATTTGATCTGTTGCAAAATGTTACTTTGGTTGATGCGTATGAAGACGGCCTGACCTCACAGACGGATGTTGAAGGAAAAGGGAAGAGGAGTTGGATGGCCTTTCCAGGACCCTTCTGTGAAATCTGACCTGTGCACGGATGCCGCTTCAGGCATGTCAACTCTTCACGACCCTGTGGACCGTAGCCCTCCAGGCTCCTCTGTCCACGGGATTCTCCGGCAAGGACACTGGAGTTGCTTGCCATACCTCCTCCAGAGGATCCTCCTGACCCAGGGAGTGAACCTGCCTCTCCCGAGTCTCCTGCATTGCAGGCAGATTCTTTACCACTGAGCTACCAGGGAAGCCCATGCTTCCTCGAAATTATGCCAAAACAACAAGTGGCAGTTTCTTCAAGGTTAGCTGTAATGTGGAATCCGAAACCGTATCAATAAACTTT